TCAAGTTATTTTGAAAAATGATTTTTGCAAATAATTTTAATATTCCATATCATTGACAATTATATCACGCCTATATTGTATCGATACATACTGATAAGAACAAATAAAATGTAATCATAAATTATTTTGAAAAATAATGTTTGTAAATTATTTTAGTATTCTATATCACTAATAATTATATCATGCTTATTTTGTATCGATACATTGTGAGCATAGTGACAATAACAAATAAAATGTAATAATAAATTAATAAATACCTTGATAATAATTTTAAGAATGGCTTTCCATCAAATGATGAAAAGCCATTCTTTAAAATCTTCAGCTTTTAGTCTTTTCTTCGGATTTCTTGCATTAACCCCATTATATTATTTCACTATTTTTAATCATCTTTTTGATTAAAGAAAAAACTATTATAAATTATGTATCATATCACGATCAACCATTAGAAGAATAGCTGATGTACAATATTTTAATACGAATTTTTAAGAAGAATCACTTTCACACTATATATTTCATTTTTCGTTCGGATCTAGAATCGCGAACGTACTTAAAAACTAGGTACGAACCATAACAAAATAAAATAATTAAAATCAATTAATGAAAAATTAATTGATTCTAATTGAATCCCAGGTGCAGATATATCGTGCGATCGAATAACCTACCCGAAATGAGAAATGCGATAATCTGCTTTTCCTGGCCCTACCTACTTATAATTTAACCCATTCATATCAGAAGTATACTACCTACCTACCTAACTCTATATTTAAAAAGAATTAGCAAAATCATTTATACCAATACATTCACATCACGATTCTCTCTCATAACACCCGGGTGCAAATGCCTACACTAGGGAGATACGTCCCGGGACGCCTCCGTCACCCGAGCTTGTAGCATACAATCTTTCATACACTAAGTTACGTACCTGAATATCTGAAATCGACTGACAATATTAGCGAATATTGCGTTAAATATTTATTTATATTCTTTAAATATTCATATTATTTCATCAGTTCATTTTGAGTTTTACATTCTTTGTGTATTTCTATAAAATTGTATATAAATTGTATGATAAATTATATTTTTATCATAATATGATATTTTTATTTATTCATGGAACATCATGCATTTACATACATCATAAATTATTATATATAGATTATGATATGTATAAATGTATATATATTTTAATAAAATATTTTATAATCTTTATTTTAAATATCAAATTTCAGAATTTGAATTCTTTAAATTCAAATTTCATTTATATATTTTTTCTCATTATCATTTTAAATTAATTATTTTATTTTATTCGATGTAAATCTCATAAACTTAACAAATTCCACATTCACACTTATGAAATTTACATCGTGTACAAACGCTAAGAATTGTCAGCCGCCAAAAATAAATATTAATAATTAAATCGTGTCCACCACCTTTACTCATAAGAGAAGCACCTGAGCCCGCTTATAAGTTTAAGTAAAAAGAAATGAACACGACAACAATAATTATCACGTACCTTTATTGTATGCTGAAAATCCTAAGCTAAAAAAATAGATTAATAATATATCTAAGCGAGCTAATTTTCTATTTTTATGAAATATTTTTATTTATGAATATTTAAAAAAAATAAAAAATGCCGAATTTATTAAAAATGTATTAAAAATTTTATCAAAAAATTTAGACAATTGTAAAAATATGTATATTATTTAATTATTGATATTTATTCTTTATTTTATTTTATTATACCCTTAGTTGATCCTATCATGAAGTAATATTTTGAAATATATATATGCATATATTAAGAATATTTAATTATTACTTTGTTATTAAAATCTAACCGCGAATTATCTTCTTGTTCATAATATTATCATTTTACATATTTTATATATGAAACTATAATATTACTTTTTTACTATAAAACAAAATTATTATAAAGTATTCATTATAAATTATAAATTTAAAAGAACAAAAAATAAATATTTATTATGAAATCGGAGGATCATCCGACTTCTACTCTATTATCATAAGTTGCATAAAAGAAACAAGAAGATTCTAACCTAAACTAATACATATAAAACATAATCAAAAAACAAATAAATATTAATATATGAAACAAAAATCTTATTTTTGTAATCACTATGCTCACACGCAACTAATATGTATAAATTGAAATATGTATTGACTCACCGTTCGTTGAATGCATGTAGACTATGCCATAACAAACGGTTGATGCTCCTTATTTGTCAAGGTTGAAATTTGAGATAACTCTACAGGTGCACTTGTAAACACTGAATCAGAAATAAGGGAAAAATGTAAGAATAAAAGTCTTCTAAAGTAATCAAAAATATTCAAAATTATTACATTAATCTTATTTTTAAAAGATTCAATATAGTTAAAATGATTTTAATTATTATTATTTATATTATTTGTAAAGAAATAAACTTACAAATATAGTCATGTAGCACAACATTGTGATTATTATTGATCTATATTTGTTGAATTTCTGTTTATTCTTTTTCTGAAATAAATTAAAACAAAAACTCAATTAGATATAAAATTAATTAAATATTTTGAAAAGTTGTGCTACTTTTCAATACTTACACGTTTCTTTTTTTATTATAGCTCGAAGGAGATCCTCTTCTCAATCAGATTTGATTCTAATTTCGCGATAAACGAAATCTTTATGAACTTAAGATGAAATAAAATATTGAACAACAAACAACACTGATTCTACTTTTACGTTCAATTAAAAAATATAAGCTATATGATATTTAAATAAATAATATTATACCGCGTATCAAACACTGTCTCTAAGATCGCATTGCACACGATCACAAAATTGCTGAAAGAAATAAGTATTAAAAAGGGAACAAAAGGAAAATTAAAAAAAAAAACACATTTTTTTCAAATACTTTTCTTTTTGTTATAAATATATTAAAATATTAATATGCAAATATGAAAAAAATCATCATTGCTTTTATATTTTTATTTTAATGATAAAAGATCATTCGTAAAAATTATTTATTTTATTGAAAAGCAAACATTTTATTAATTTATTATTTTATTTAAGAAAACATGAAAAATCCATCTAAGTTATATAAAAATCGAAAAAATATTTTTGATATAAAAATTATATTCGATATAAATTATTCAATGGATAGAAAATTAAATTTTTATAATTAGTACAATTCGATATTATTTATATTATAAATTTCTCAAATTATAATTTTTACTTACATATATGCAGCAATTTCAATGAAATTGTTATAAAAATATACGAATCTCAATACGTAGTTTCAACAAATAAGCTCCTAATTTTCATAATTTAATTAATTCTATAACAAAAAAACAATAAAGTATTTAGTACAAAAAAACAAACAGTAAAGTATAAAAATTCATCATAAAATATATTAAAGAAGAAAATTCACAGTCTAAATTCACTTACTAAAAAACTTTTCAAAATGGAGGTCAAAGCATAAAAGATTATTAAAACTAACAATTTACAAATGGCCAAAATATCTTTTCCGTGTAAAAGGGTTGTTGAACCCCGTAGACATTAATTTAAACAATATATCTAATTTAGAATATTATATTCTAATCGTTCTAAATATGTTTTATACAAAAATAAATGCAAATTATTTGAAAAAAATATTAAAAAATTAAGAAATTTATAAAAATTAAACTTTTATATAATAAAAAAATTGGAAGATGAATTGAAAATAGTACGAATTTTTTTTCGAATAAAAAAATTTTATATAAGTTATATTTTACGTAAAAAAGAAGTTTTATATATAAAATTTCTTACCTAGAATTCTTAATAAGTCTTTTCTTTTTTTTATAATCACTTAAACCACTTAACAAAAAATAAAATTGAAAATTAAATCGAACTCACTACGCAAGCGTCTTAACAGGACAAGGGTACAACGACGAATGTTGAACAATACTGACGTAATTGGGAAGAAAAGACAAACGTTTCTGATTGGTCAAAATCGCGCGCGGAAGACATTTCCTACGCAAAATAGTTCATAAAATATACGGTAAAATATAAAATATTTTAATATCATAAAAATTATAAAACAAATTTTATACATAAAAAATTAATGGAAAGCATTTTTTATAATAATTCATTCAAAATATTTTTATATTCTTTTGTTTTTTACATTGAATTAAAAAATTAATAAAAATATATTACATTATAAATTAAAGGATCTTAGAAGACAGGTGATTGGTAAAAAAATTCAATACTTGCTATTGGTTAAAATCTTTGTAAAGGATTCTATTTAAAAATATAGACAAAGTCATTATAACATAATGTAATTTAGAAAATCAATCCATTCAAATAAATCTTAAACAAATATCAATAATCTTTATAAAATTTCTTATAAAAAATATAATAAATAATAAAGAATATAATAATAAAGAATACAATAATATAACAATAAAAAAAAATATAAACAAATTATAAGTTCATTTTAATAATTTAAATTTTCAAGTTTTTTATTATTTTAAGAAATTATTTTCTTGATAAAATTCTTGAAAGCGAGAAAAGATTCGTAATATTATATAACAAAATACACAACATTTTATATTTTAAACAGGATTATATATAATTCTTGTTAAAATCTAATAATTAAAAAATTTTTAATTATAATTTTAATTTTATTCTATTAATTATCTTATCTATACAATATATAATTATCTATATAATATTATTTTAATATCATTTTAATTTCCTTATATATTTATAAATATATGATGACATATCAATATATGTTAAATATTTATAAATATTTATTAAATTTTATAATTCAATTTGTATATATAATCCTGTGAAACAATATATTCAAACAAAATAGAATTAATATCCTAATATAGAATCTAATATTATGAATGCAAATATATATTATTTTTCTTTCCTTTTTCATATTCATTATTGCATACATCAAAATATATATTTGGTGCGAGATTCTACTAAAATCTTTTCTAATTTAATTTATCTGTTAATAAAGTGTAATAGTGAAAAAAATATATCAATCTGTTAGCATGTATATATTCTTTTAATAAATAAATTATGAGCAATTTATTTCATATACAGCGTGTCAGAATACTGTACAAAACAATTTTAAGGTTACATCGTGGTTTACCACCTGAAATTCAAGTTTTAGGAACAAATTACGTTCGAGATGAATTTAGAAGACATAAAAATTGTAACGAAGATATAGCAATTATATTTATGAATGAATGGACAGTAAGTAATGTTAAATTTTATAAATTCAATCTAATCTTTTTAACATCATTAGGTTATGTTTCATTTTTATTATCACATAAATTAATAAATATAAAATAAAATAATATTTTATATTTATTAAAATATTAAAAGTTTTTATTTCTAAAATGAATAATAAAATTACTTCATTTTATAGGAGTATGCTATAATGCTTACAAAACAACTTGGGCTAAAAGGACCACATACAGCTAAACCTTTAGGTCAAAATTTAAAAGAAGAAGATTTTAATAAATTTAGGGATGAACAATTACATCAATTATATGAACTAATGATTGCATCAACTGGTAAAATCAATAAAAATATAAAAAACACATAATTTATTCTTTCTAAAATGTATTGTATAATAATAATATTAAAGATATAATATTGTATATAATATATGTATTATTAATATAATTTATTAATTATTTATGATCAATGTAATATCATGTATATAAATTATAAATTATTATATTTGAACAAAAATTTCTATAACACTCTATAATTTTTAAATTTCTAATAATATTCCTTGACAATAATATTTGATAAATTTGTATAGAAACAATCATAAGTTTATTATACTGATATGTAATAATATAATAATGTTTTATTTTAAATATAAAATATAAATAAAAAATTATAATAGAAAGACTAAATAATAATATTAAACAATTTTTAAATATGATCATAAAACTACAATTTCAACAATAATTAATAATTCTTCAAATAAAGAAAGTATTAAAAATATGCAGTTAATAATTATTTAGAACAAAACGACATCGGTGAGTATATATATATATACAATCGTTATATTATTTAATTGTTTTTTTTTTATTAATGTTTAAATCTAAATATGCACGTATATTTATTCAATTAGGTTATAAGTACATTTTATGGAATTATAACTATGTCAATTATTTTGTATAAATTGCAAATATTATAAAACTTAGATACATTAAATAACAATTTATAATATAAAATTTAAATACGTTAAATAAAAGAATGAAGGCTTGGAAAGAATCTGTAAGTTTAATACTAACGGCACGTCAAAAATATGTTCGTTCATCACTGACAAATGTAAGTAATATATTAAATAAATTTGATTAAAAACTTTATTATGTACATAATAAATATATTGATTATTTTCTGTTATTATAATAAAAAAAAATAATAATAAAATATAACTTAATATTAGAAAATATAATAATATCGAAAATGGAATCATACGCCAAATACGCGCGAGAATTTAAATTATTATATTATGCTTTTAATTAGAAAAACAATTACAATATAAATACTAATTAAAATATTAATAAATATCATCTAGTTTCAGTATAATTACAATTTACTGTGCCTGAAACGTCATCAAAATTCAAAATTTTTACCAAGTACATATGTATTTCCTGGAGGAATAATAGATCCGTCCGATGCTGATTTAAAATGGCATGATCTTTTTACTACCTTCGGTTTTGATACTAATAGTTTCACATCTTTGACTCCAAATACTTCTATTCGTCCTCAAATTTTCCAATTCAAATCGAATGAATTGCCAAAAGAAATTTCTTTACGCATTACTGCAATTCGTGAAACCTTTGAAGAATGTGGTATACTTATTTGCAAACAATCTCGAGAAGATACTTTTGGTTGGGCACAGAACATAAAAAGTTCGATTAAATAAAATATTAAAATATTTGTGAAAATATTACAAAATAAAAAGTTATTTTATTAAAATAAATAAATAATAATTATAAAATTTTCAATTTTTTTTGTACAGTTTCTAAAAGTGAATTGCATAATTGGCAAACAAGAGTGCATAATGATGCTAGAGAATTTTATACATTGTGTGAAAATTTTAATTGTTATCCAGATTTATGGTCTCTTTATGAATGGAGCAATTGGTTAACACCGACTTATTTTACTGGACGACGTTATAACACTGCTTTTTATTTAGCTTGTGTTTCTTCTTTACCTCAAACTTTTCATGAGCCAACAGAAATAGAAGATTTGAAAGTAAAGTTGTTTTAATATATGAATAATATAATTTATATTTAAATAAATGAATAATATAATTATGAATATATTATTAATATTTAAAAATTATAATAATATTAAATGAGATATTTTAATTTAGTGGGATATGCCTGGAAATTTCTTATTTTCAACTCCAAAAATTGCATTTCCACCACCACAACAATATGAAATTGCAAGAATAGCAAAGTTCGAAAGCATAGATAATTTGTTGGATTTTGCAATTGATAGGAGTAAAATAGGAGTGCTCTTAAATCTACCAGTATGTAAAAAATATTAAAAAAAATATATTAAAAAGCAATTTTAATAACATATTTATTATATTAGGTAAAGGTAGAATTGTTGGATGGGATTGTACATGTTTTACCAGGAGATTCAATGTATCCGAATCAAGTTAATTTTCTTGACAAACAAATTATTAATAGAAATGATATTACTATTCATGAATTTCGAGCTATATCTCCTATAAAAAATAGAATGGAATTTTTCAATATTCAAGTGAAAGAACTTTATGTACAAAATTTTGATAGTGCCGATGGCCATTTAGCGCCTCTTCAATTGAAAAATATTTCTACTGCAATAGTACATAAACATATTAAACCATAATAGATTTATTCAATACAATGATGTATAGTAGTATCTTTTTAATATATATATACGTACTGTTTTATTGTATATTATATTATAATCAAGAATTCATTTTATCAAAAGATATTGATGAATTATATACTAAGTTTTAATAAATATATATTGATATTGTTTTTCAAAAAAAAAAACTAATATATATATATATATATATTTACATATGAATAATATATAAATCATTAAATTATTTTTGTAAGAAAATAGCGGGAAAAAAGCGCGGGAAAGATAGTATGATAGTAATGGCGGCTTAAGCTTCTTGTGAAATACTAGATTTTTTACATTCAAAATGTGTTGGCAATAGTTGTATATGCATAAATAAATTAATATTAAGTAGATACGTTTATTTTTTATTGTTAACTGTTTTGCTAACTGTAAATGTTATACAATATTTTCTTATGTAAAAAATTGTTTGAACGATATGTCGTAAGTTTATGAATGCATTTTAAATAAAAGAAAAGTGGATATATTTTCTTATAGAAAATGGAATATACTAAAAGAAGACGCTATACAATTAATGTTAAAAATAATATTGATTATTCTGATCTTCAAAATATTTATCAACATGACCTGCATATGTATGATTTTCCTCCAACAGGAGAAATTTCACTTACAGAATTTGAGGAACTGGGTAGAGAAAGATTAAAACGTAAGTTTTATAGAAAATTATAATTAACTTATTATTTTATAATTATTATTAATTTCTATTATGAATAAAAGTAGTTTTATATATATATATATATATATATATATATATATATATATATGATCATCATATTTTATAGTTTTACAACATGTGGAAAACAATGCAATAAGAACAGATTTTAAGACACAAGAAGACCGTAAACAAAATCTACATACAGCTTTAATGAAAGATGGCCTTAAATATTTTGCACATCTTTTATATGCAAAAGGTTGCAAATCATCAACAGAAATTGATTTACAATGTAGAAGAAAAGATCATATATCACATTTTATATCAAGATTATCACATTGTCAAGAATCAGATCGTCAAATGTGGTTTATTAACCAAGAAATAGAATTATTTAAATTAAGATTTAGTTCACTAGATAAAGAAGGAATAGAAAAGTTACTTAGTATGCATAATATTGATTGTCAGCAGGTAAGAAATTGAGCTAAAGTAAAATAATTCATTAAATTTATGATCATTTTTTTTATTATTATTTTCTTAAGATTACACAAGAAGAAAAGGATGAAATTAGGGAGGAACTTCGTTTATCTACTTCATCCATAAAAGTTTTAAATATTGATATGACAGAATTTTATAAAGTGTCTTTTTATAGAGTTTCTGATTTAATTAGATCACGTAGAGTTTATCTAAGTCAAGGAATAGCATATATACCACAAATAGATTTAGTATCTTTGTTTCTTTCTTATTTTAGAAAAAACTTACTTGATGGTATGCCAGTAAGTTTTTATTTTATATTATTTTTCATTATTATGTATATATATATAACCAAATGTTGTTTAGATTTATAATTAGTTTAATCTTATGCACAGGCTGCAAAAATGTCTATTATGCGTATGCATGGTGATGATAGAATACAATCATATCTTAAATCTGTACCTAATATTTCTGATAAAACATGTGTTGTTTGGACTAGTTCTGCTACACCCACAGATAAATTAGATGAGGTAATTTATTTATTTTTTATATAATTTTATTTTTGAATAATATTATATAATTTTCAGTTATCAAAAACATCATATCCTATGTGCATGAGAATATTACATGAAGCACTTAAATCTAATCATCATCTGAAAAACAGTGGGCGTATACAATATGGTTTATTTATAAAAGGTATTGGTGTAACAATGGAAGATTCTTTATCCTTTTGGAAAACAGAGTTCACAAAAAAAATTGATTCAGTAAAATTTGATAAGGAATATGCCTATACTATAAGACATACTTATGGTAAAGAAGGCAGACAGACAAACTACACTCCTCTTGGATGTCAAAAAATTATGTCTTCTGTTCAAAGTCCTGGAGAATTTAATGGTTGTCCATATAAACATATGGATAATGCATCATTAAAACAAAAATTGTTTAGTTATGGCATACCTGCAGCAAGTAAGTATATTGTCTTTCTTTTTATTATTGTAAGGAATTATATCTAAAATTTTATATATTTTAGGTATTAATGAAATAACAGAACTAGCAAAAAATGATAATTACTTTGGTGCTTGTACAGCATACTTTAAAGTTTTACATAATCGTTTGCCAGATAAACCTATTATTCATCCAAATGGATATTTCCTAGAAAGTCGGGCCATATTGACTAAAGATGCAGGTATAATAATAGTTTAAATTAAAAAGATATATAAATTTAATAAATAAATTTGTCTCTTTTTTTTTTGTTTTACAGAATTTGAAAATAAAGAAAAACTTTCTCAAACTGGAAAACTAAATGTTGGAACTCCTAGAGTTAGTACTCCCAATATTGACAGAAGTACTCCTTCAAGAAATATTTCTACCCCAAAAAGTACAGAGAGAAATACTACACCATCGAGAAAAATTGATAAAATGAATATGACTCCAGTTAGAACATCTAAACTAACTCCAAGAAGAATAGAAAATTATCTAAATGACGAAGATATTGAGAAATTAATGAGTGAAGATATGTAATTATAAAAAATATATTTTCTAAGTTTTATATTTTGTTGTAAAATAAATAGTATTTTCATACCTTAAGATAATTATATAATATAATTTATATCAATTATCTAAATCATATCATACATAGCTATTAACTTCTTTTAATGATCTTTTGTTTGAAAAATTTTTCTTTACATCGCGTACCATTGATTTTACAAGTTTTTCTAAGTTATACTTATGTTGCCAACCCCAATCTCGACGAGCATCACTATCATCGAAAACTTGTGGCCAATTTTCAGCTAAAATTTAAATATGTTGTTTTGTTATATATATTGCAGATTAATAATTATAAATATTACGAACCAATATATTGTCTTGCATCCGGTTTATATGAAATCTTTAAATCAGGAACATATTTTTTAAGTTCAGTAAATAATTCTTCAGGTGTGAAACTCATAGCAGTAACATTATATACTCTTCTTTGTAATTGCTCACTTGGAGTATTTAAAAATTGAAAAAGCGCTGATAAACAATCTTCTATGTACATCATTGGTAATCTTGTATAAGGTTCTAAATAACATTCATACTTTTTAGTGAGTAATCCTTCATGAAAAACTGCTACTGCATAGTCTATTAAAAAAATAAAGTTATACAATTATTCATTTAAATATTAATTATATTAAAAATTACTTTATCACAAACTATATAGTTTTCTTCATAATGTTACTTTGCTGTTATTTTAAGATTTACGCTTCAGAAAATAAGGGAAATGCAAGAAACGACCTCACGGTTCACGATCAAGAGACGTTCAACAATTTACTCATACTATTGTCCCTAAAGACCAATAAATTGCATTATTATGTAATTATTTTAATGCTCCATTTCTTAAGGTAGGAAAATATTTTTATAATAAAATATATTTATTACAAAATAAAAATAAAATAAAACAAAATAAATAACAATAAAAAATCAAAATAATAATAAAATATATACCTGTAGTACCACCACCTGGTGGATCACTGCTGATAACTCCCGGAAATCGAAGACATCGAAAATCAAGACCGAATCTATGATGATAATATTCACCTAATAATTCAGCATGAACTTTACTAACGCCATAAATTGTTCGTGGACGTTGAATAGTTACATTTGGAGTAGGATTGCGTGGTGAATCTGGACCAAATGCTCCAATTGTCGAAGGAATAAATATTCTTAATTTATATTGCTTTGCTAGTTCAATAACATTATGCATTCCTAATATAAAGTATTATATTAATTTTTTTATAGAAATTTTTTTAGATTTAGATTTTAAAAAATTTTTACGTTTTGAATAATTTTATATGAAGATATTCTTTAAAGATATCTATGAAAGCTACATACTTTCTCTATACTTTCTTTCATGATTATATTAATATTATAATTATTACGATGATATTTAATAAGATTCACTTAATAAGACATTCGATTTCATTCCAATCTAATCTATTTTATAGAACTTCAATGATTATTTTACCTTCTATGTTGACTCTTACAGCTAGAGGAACATTTTGTTCACCTATAGCGCTAAGAAGAGCACTGAAATGAATAAGCCAATCAATTCTATAATTTACTACAATCTTTTGTAGTCCTTTAAAATCAAGAATATCGGCAAAAATGAAAGGTCCGTTTGATAAATTTTCTTCTGTCGGTTTGATTATATCAGATAAAATTACATTTTCGTTTCCATAATTTTTACGAAATAGTTTTGCACACTCGGTACCCAATTGCCCTAGACCACCTTATAATATAAAAATGTAAAGAATATTAAATTTTTATGTAAATCCATAGCAAGATGCAAAGAAAAATTTGTTATAATTAATTTTGGAACAAATATTTTAATTGATATTTTAAAATCATGCACGCACCTGTAATAAGTATTCTTGGTGATTTTTTGATAATACGTGATTTATTAATTTCAATTTTTTCAACTTCTTGAGATGAACAATTCATGATGCAATAATCTCTTAAAATGTTTCTTGAAAACCATTGATAAACTTTTAATAAATTTTTACACCACATGTTTTGAAATCCGAAATAAAAAATTCAATCAAAAACAAGTGGCAATTCTTAATGAAATACACTTCTTTTTCTTCTTTTTTCCAGTTACAGTCACGTTAGATATATTAAAAAAAAATTTGAAAAAATTCGAAGAAAACTTTTATCTGCATAAAGAAATTCTCAAAGGAACATAATAAATTAAAAGGACTTTTCTGTTTCAATATCTTTAAATAACTGCCATAGGCTCGCATAATCATAATATTATAACAGGATTCTTGATTCTGAAAACCAGTTGCAACACAGATTTTTTCTTTTTTGTATTTGTGCGTTAATAAATGCAGAATTTTTAATTTTTATGAATCTAGTTAAAATAAGTAATTCATATATTTATAGTACTTATATTTATCTAATAAAAATTTATATAGTGTTATTATTATTAAAAATCATATATTATTGTGAATTATTCATTTAAATATTCTAATATTTAATTCAATTTATTTTTTAATATAGATTTTAGATGTCAATAGATAAAAAGATATTCAAGTGCTATATCTGAATGATTAATCAGTAATTAAATACTGGTTAGCTCTGGAGGAATGGAAAATTTTTCAATATTATTTTGAATCAAATTAATGTATATTTTCCTACATCTTGACAAAAGCGAATAAAAGAAGATGGTATTCATATCATCTGGACTGGAACACGTTTAGCTGCACGTTTTCAAGAAAATTATAGAAATCGTGATTCTTGTCGATATAAATCAAAAAATTGTTGTGAACATTACATTATAAACTGAAATTATTTACAGTGATCTTACAGTTAAATAATACGAATATTAACTTACAAATCTTTACAAACCTTATTTTTATATCATCGTTTCAATATTTGTAAAATATCTCTAGTTGAAATCGCTCGTAATTTTTTTTAAAATCTTCTGATAGATTTGAAGCCTGAAAAATTTATAAGACAGGCAATTTTAAATTCGAAATTTGTCACTGTCGCCAATTTGGTAGATGGTAAAGATTTGGTGGAAAGGGAAGAATTTCCTGGAAGCGTGCCTTCACGGTGGTTGGACACAGCACTTCGCAATTCTCTTTTCGTCCCGCTCGCCATCACCCACGCCACAGTCATCTTCTCCCCTCGACTTTGTGCATCAGCACGTTTTGTACAAAACTTCTTCATGTAGTTAGTTCGTATCTGTTCGTAACGAGAGTACCGAGTTTCTAACTTTTCGAAACGACGTTCCAAACGTGACGTGTTGTTTTTTAATTTGTGAATAGGCAGTGCTATTTAATCACATTGTTCTAGAAAATATAAATAATTAAATTAAAGATAATCAATAAAATTTTGAAAAGTGGAAACGTTTTTTATTCGGGAATAAATCGAGACTTTTGGTCAGTTAGGAGAACTCTAAAGGTAGGAATGATCGATACGAAGAATTGAGTAATTTTGATATTTTAAATTGCAATTGATTAAATAATAAAAATAACGAAAATAATGCGATTCTCATCGTTCAATCTTATTTTTATTTGCTTAGAATGTATGTACACTATCTATTTCAAAGTTGCATAAAATTACTTGCTATAATTTAAGAAAGAATAAGAACTAAGGAGACAGAGGAAACATATATCACTTTCACTGGTATCATATACGATCGTATACTATAGTTCAATCATAGTTACAGGACATTAACAGTAAAAAAAAAAAAGGTGCTGCACCTGTATCAATTATACGCATTATAAGTTTATAACTAATAAAAAACTAATAAAAAAGATGCTGCACCTGTATCAATTATACGCAATTGTAAGTCGTAACTAATAGGATATACAACAAAGGATTATGTCAACCGTTTGCAATTTGCGTCACGCGAAGACTCATTTAACGAGGAATGTTCATAGAAAAGATCAAATTGAATAGTTTAATTTTAAAGCTCACTGAACGATGAAAACCGATTTCCTAACAATCAGGTAATAGGTTCAGGTATTATCAGGTAACAATCAGGTTAATCTAGTTTAGAGGAATGCAAATGTAATCACGTGAGTGTAACGACCTGTATATCTGGATTCTGACGCGCTCCCTTAAATTTTCAACAAAACATATGGTTACGGGCTGTATACACGTATACAGTTTTTTTGATTAAATATTTTAATTAACAATTGCTTCATATCAACATTCCTTACGTCCGAATGCATTTTTAGGTCGTTCGATTGTTTCTACTTACGGAAGGCGCATTATGAAACACACGTAGTCACCCGTGAACACTATCCTCGAAGAAAACCTTTGTTTTCGTTCTATCAGATAGAGTAAAAAGACTTTCGTCTTCCGTATCGATTCTCTTAAATTACTTACTCAAATATCTTGTTCTTTTGATGATTAGATGTTAGATAAGAGCATTTGACTATTGTTCGTGAAATAAATAAACGTTTTAATACGTTGTTGCGATTAATACAAATGCTTTATCAATTTAATCAAGACATACCCGTGTCGTGCAATTTCGGGTGACAGTAATTATCGCGGGGAAAGATTTTCCTAGCGGTCTTTAACTTTAAGCTTACGGTATGAAACATTAATTTTGTCGTCTACGACCGTGACGTGTCGACACCATGTATATATACAGCATGTTCTTCGGTTTATGTACAAAGACAGTTAACATTTAGTTACAATATCCAAATTTCTAAAAAAAAAAAAAAAAAAAGAAAAAATTAGATTTATGCTTTTATAAATTGAACAGTTAGAGATAAAATGATTTTTACAGAAAATGTGGGACTGGTGTTTGAGGTCGTAGACCAAGATCCAAATGCGCTATGATTAAATTACCGTGGGATAGAGGCGTCTTTATAACTGGCTGCTTTCTGACACTGTTATCCTTTATCAGTGTCGATGCTCAGTTAAATTCGGAGTACGGGTGTCCTACTCAAGAGAGGATTCTACCTTGTAGATGTTCTACTCGTGACATGGAGATTCAAATATGGCAAGTGTCACACTTAAAAGAAAAAAAAAGAAAATAGAAAAAGAAAGATCATCAGACAAGATTCATTTCTTATTTGTGTCAATAGGTGCAGTCACAGTGAGTTACCAAAAGTTCTCGAGGGCCTAAAGGCAGTGAGTCATTATTTAGATCGACCAGTTGACGAGTTGATCTTGGAGAACAATAATCTACCTAGTCTGCCAGGCAAAGTTTTTGCTAGTCTGCGTGTTCTTCGTTTAATGCTTCGAAACAATCGTCTTGAAAGAGTGTCGTCAGGGTGGCTAGAGGGTCTTCACGATTCCTTGTTAGAACTATTTATCGTGGAACCGGATTTACGTTCGTTACCTGTAGACAGCCTCGAAAATTTACTGGGTCTCGAGGCGGTAACCTTGCAGAGTAGAGCGATGAAAAAGCTTCCTAGATTCTCTGGACTACCAAAACTCAGATATCTCCAGATTAACTCACCGGCTCTGTTAGAATTAGCCCCAAGAAATTTTCGAGACTTGCCTAACTTGGAACAATTTCACGTTTTTGGTAGTCCACGTTTAATACGTTTGGAAGCTGGTCTCTTCCGGGGTCTGCTGCGGCTCGAGTTGATGAATATTACGGACTGTGGAATTCATTGGGTCCATCCTCGAGCTTTGATAGATTTACCAGAATTGAAAGAGATCTCGTTGGTTGGAAATTCGATCGTGGATGCCGGGATGATTGGACGGGCTTGCATGGATCTGCCTTCCCTCTCGATGATACGTCTGGACAGAAATCGCATAAATCGTCTTGGTGAAGGGGCATTCACAGATTTATCGGTCCTCTCGCGCTTGTATTTGTCGAGAAATTATATTACCGAAGTGTTCGCTGGAGCATTTCAAAGAATGCCGGCATTGAAAATTGTCGATCTCAATCACAATCTCATACATCACGTACATCCTGAATTCTTCCCGCACAGATCTGGAAACGTATTGGAAGAGATGTGGTTAATCAACAACGATCTAAGTCACGTGTCTGAACTGAGATCTATAATGGAAGCTTTGCCCAGATTAAAATTCCTCGACGTAAGCCACAATCAAATCGAAGAGATACCCTTTGGATCGTTAAGGGGACATCTTACGTTGGAAAGACTTCACCTTGATCACAATAGAGTGGCCTTTTTGCAAAGAGAAACCTTCACCGCGATGCCCGCTCTCAGGGAACTTCGATTGAAAAATAATTCATTGTCAAACTTATTGGAAGCGCCGTTCTGGAACTTACCAGCGTTGAAAGTAAGTGATGGGAAACATTTCCTAATCTCTTGTCATAATCTCGTGACATATTACAATTTCAGGGACTAGATCTTTCTGAAAATTACTTCCGCCATATAGAACCTCGTTTATTAGCGAACTTGCCAAGTTTGAGACGTTTGGATCTCAGTGGAAATGCGGTTGGCCTTATAGAGCCCGATTCATTCTTGGGCACGCCATTATTGGAGCATATAAACATCTCTGGAAACGCGCTTTCCGTTCTCCATCCGCTCACGTTCAATCATTTGACTAATCTTTACGAATTGGACGTCGGTTGGAATCGAATGCTTGAAATAGTTCCGGGTTTACCGAGCAACATAGAGCACCTTTACATGCCTATGAATCGTATGGTTATTTTACCAGCAATATCTTCTCAAGATCTGGATCTCCCGCTTCTGAGATCCTTGGATCTGAGTGCAAACGGAATCGAGAGGATACTTCCAGGCAGTCTGACTGATTTGCCGAATTTGAGAAAGTTAAACTTCGGCTACAATTCTCTTCGACTCATAGAGGAAGGTGCTTTCGAAGGTTTATCGAGATTGGAGCAATTGGATTTGAGATACAATCGAATAGTCACCCTACATGGCCGAAGTTTTAGACCGCTGAGATCGCTGATGGATTTGAGCTTACGGGGAAATCGTTTGGAAGTTCTAAGGCCAGATATCTTCCAGGAAAATATTCGATTACAGAGGATAGATCTCAGCAGGAATAATCTTGCTCAAATACCTCATGCAACGTTTTCTAATACCAGGTAATATCCATTGAAAAAAATTACAGTTTCTATAACTATATAATGCTACCATATTGCGTACAAAACTATATTAAGATGCGCCATTTTTTGCACGTCAACACGCGAATAGAAAAGCAGTTTCACTTGTGGTTATATGGTTGCATCACTAGCAAATTGGTACCTAGAAAGTTCTTCGTGTTGAATGTCTCTTTCTAGTTGTTAGGTAGCACTATCCTGGCGTATCGTTAATTTTCTACTATGTAGTTTGCGTTACTTTAACAAGCAAGTGAACTTTAATCGATTAAATTAATCGAAGAAAAAAAGTCGATATTAATTAATCATTATTTATCGATCATTCAACTGAATAGATATTAATAGCAATATGCTCTTTACAGATTCTCGAAACCTAACAATTTTTTATTAAAGTTTAAAGTTTTGATCTTAAATTTATTTAAATGCATTTAAACAGACGAATTAACGAAACACCTGTTTCCATTTAATGATTCCGTATCAAAGGGAGGAAACGTTGTTAATTGCAGAGACCTTCGTGAATTGTACGCGTCGCACAATACTTTGACCGAGTTACCCGGATCGTTACACGGCTTAACAGCTCTTCAAGTATTAGACTTGAGCTTTAACAAGCTGAACATCCTGTCACCGGAAACATTGAGCAGTTTATCGGCCTTGCTCGAGCTCAAACTCGTCAGGAATCGTATTCGTGAGTTGCGCGAGGGCGCCTTCGATGGCCTGCCACAGTTAACATTAATTGATCTGGAAAATAACGATCTGAGAATTATCGAGAGAAACGCTATCAGAGCTCTGCCAGAGCTGCAAGCGATACGACTTGGAAAGAATCGATTGCAGGTAGCAGAAAAAAATATATATATATATGCATATATACATATATATTTTCTTAAAAACTATTATTAAAATCTACCATTTTTTATCGTCATTTCGAATTACATAGATAATTCCAAGCGGAGCTTTCACCGAGTTGCCATTACTGCAAAGCGCGGAACTTCAGGAAAATCGGATTCAGGAAATTGCGAGTAATGCATTCATTAACGTGCCTCACCTTCTCTTCCTTAATTTAAGCCACAATCATTTACCTTCGTTGGATTACATTGGCTTGGATAGCTTGCGTTCCCTGGAAGTTTTAGATTTGAGCAATAATCGATTATCCAGGGTATCCAGCAACAGTTTATCATCGATGGAATGGCTAGTTGAATTAAAAGTAAGTAAACTGAAAGTAAAAGGAGAAAGAATTATTTTATGGATCATTTAAGGAATTCGCTAATTAAAAGGATTAATAACCTGAAATAGCGTGATAATTCTCTCTTTTAAATAAATAATTTGAAAGCAAGAATCCATGGAATAGTTAGGATAAAAATCGTATTAAAAATTTTCGTAACCATTGTATTTAACGCGAACATAGAATGGGCAAATGATAGTAGTAGTAGGGATAGTCTTTAGTAATAACGAGGAATACTTTCTCGTCGAGAGTGAAACTTCGCCACGAACCGTGGTGCGAGGCCACTCGTTATGCTAGCAGAGCAATTGTATAGCAGCATCGTTAATTAACAAGATAGCGGATCGTTATACATACGTTGTCCACTTTAATTGCAGATGGACAACAACCGTATTTGCACTATCCAAGGTTCGCCTTTCGATAAAATGCCGAGACTTCGGGTTCTCAGCTTGAGAAGTAATCGAATGGCTTCCGTTTCGGAAGCGGCCTTCAAAAGATTGAGATCGAATATCGCTGTCTTAGATATCGATGGTACTTCAATTTTTTTCTCTCTCCGTTATTTCATGTACTGATTCCTAATTTTCTTTTTTTCTTTTGATAAAGGTAATCCACTTTCGTGTTCCTGTGGAATGTTATGGTTGAGAGGATGGTTACAGCAAGCTTCCTCCGAAGGTCCAAGATGCGCCGATGGATCTTTATTCAAAGAAATTAGATTAGCGCGTCAGGATTGTCAACGCGAAAGACAAATCGATCCGATTCATCCTGGCTGTGAGGCGGAAATGATCGACATTGCAGCGTATCCTGTTTCCTCTTCTAGTGAGTAACAGCTATTCACAATCAAATTATAAAATATATATAAAAATATTATAAAAATATTCAAATTATCATTTTCTTTTATCGACAATATGTTTATTAAATATCTCATTAGTATTTGGAGCAACGGAGATGGTACCGTTAAGGATGAATTTAAAGGAATCTTCGACGAGAAATCCTCCTAATATTCAAGATACTGATTATTTCTACGAGTATCCTGATTATCATGATATGAATAAAAATGACACATCAAACGTAACATTCACATCTACTCAATTTATAACCACTGTACCAACGAGCAATGAGAAAACCATTCAGACGACGGAGAAGATTTCAACTACGACGAATAATACCATTCCCATAAAAAAAATTACCTCGATGCCTCCCTCTCCTAGCAGTTCCGGTTTTACCTTCTTCGGGGTACCTTTGCCTAGTCTTAACTTCAATCTTTGGGGAAATTCAAGAAGAAAATTCGAGAGGAAAGATTCTTCGGGAAGACCTGAAAGAGGTCGTTACAGGACGTTTCCGCCTACGGAACCAGAAATTCACAGAGGAGGTTTTATACCATTACCGCGAGGACAAGGTGGATTTGTGCCTATCGTTGATCCTAGATTAACATACGAGAGACAAATTAAAAACGAAACCTCGAAGAACTCGAACGCTACGCAAGAAGAACGGAAACGATGGAAGAGCGGAAACGGGACAATCGCAAAAATTGAAAGAACTTACCTAAGAACAAACAAGTCTAAAGTAGGGCCGAAAGAAAGGGAAGAGTTATCCACAGTATCTGTTAATGAATCTGATTTTCATTGGCAAATAAATGGCGTGAAAAAAATTAGGTAAACAGATTGATTAGATAGAAATGCATATGTAGAAAAATAATCATAAACATTTTATCTATCTGTTCTATCTTTTTCTAGTTCTGCCATAAATTCAACGAAGGATACTGCATCAGATGAATCGCATCACGAAGCAAATGGAACTTCTATTGAAGCTTATAACGGAGAAAATCTGGAAATGATTAAGAAAGCGATTAAAAACGAAGAAAAATTACAAGTGGAAGTCGCGAGTAGAATCGTTTGGACTACGCCGAAAAATGCCTTGGAAGCGACGAAAGATGTTTTATCCAAAGAAACATCGACGGAGATATCAAAAGGGGAAAAACATGTATACTGGAATACCGAAGCAAATGAATTTCAAGAAACGTCCAGTCTCGCGACAAACGTTCGAAACGAATCAATTGGTAAAATTATACTTTTCATCATAATTTTTTTATATAATTTCAAATAAATAATATTTTAATATCAATCATAGATGATCCGAGTGCTATTATAACAGAACGTTCGACTTTTCATTCAACATTTTCGGAAAATCGGAAGAATTCCACATCTCAAGCTTCTCGAGAAACGGAAGCATCACCGCTTTCAGCGTTTTTAGTTCCAGGAGGTCAAATACCCTCATTGATCCAAAATTTGCGTCCATTAGGTAGGCCAACAATAACAAAAGTTCCATCACCACGTATTGGTCTCGTTGCTGAACCAGAAAAACAGAAATCTATGGCTGAAGCTGTTCAACGAAATTTGGAAAATGAAGAGGAAAAACTATTCGGAATAGATGGATCTTCCAATGAGAATGCTGAAGTTCTTGAAGACAATTCATTTAATTGGTATTTTCAACATTATAACGATACTAATTTAGAACCTTTTGTTGGTGTAGTATATAGTGGAGGTGAAAAGACAAGTGTGGCTCGATGGACTTTATTAAGTCAAATATATCTTATTTTATACATTTTCATATAAAAACATGAAAGATTAAATATTTTCAATAATTAATTTATTGAATAATTCATTTTTGAAGTTTTAATTGCGCGTAATATGATTGATCTGAATGATGAAAACGAAATGAAGAAAATTCAAGTGTTATTAGATTATATTAAATGTTTTGATAATGAAAAACATATTATTTATTTGAAATTACATCTTCTGAACAGGTACCTGCACTATAAAAACTTATTTTTAGATTAAAATTTCATGTTTCGTGATTAAATGTGAATTTTTATGATACAAAGAAATGCATAATTGATACATTGTGCATCTCTTGATGACTATATTATAGAGTTCTTATATATTCATGAAAAATAAATAAAATTATAAGCTTGAATTGATCGATTTTTGTTTATTAGTAACGTAATGTAATGATTAAGAATGCTTAAATTCTCTAGAAAACATGTTCATAATACCTAAGGACTGTATATTATAAGAATCTTATCTGCTATTTTCAGATAATATAGAAAATTTCGGTACATTCAAATGTATCGTTAATGACAATTGAATGATATTGGTTCATGAAAAAATCACGAAATTTTTTATCCATTAATACATTATATAAAAGTTAGAGGTAATTTGAAGCAGTTGCTCATTCCTAGAAAAAAAAAAAGTTTATCTGTGAACACAGTTATTATGTTATACATCTTATAAACGTTTAATATTAAAATTCTTAATAATTGTGCAAAATTATTAATCGAATTTGTGTTTGCTATAAATCATGGAAATGTGTAACTGCATCTCTACCATTATATCTTTTATTTAATGTATGTGTGATAGAACATTTTAAAAACATTCGTCATTTGTTTTATTTTGGTGTTAATTTGAAATACCAATTGTTTGTAAGCACAAAATACATTTGTACATGTATAAACAAACTTTGCAATTGTGAACTTCTGTAATGTTAACAGTCTCAATCACACAAATTAGTTTCAGTTTCACTTTGTTCACTGACTTTTATTTTTTATTTTATCTTTCTCATCTTTTTTTTCTTCTTCTTTCTTCTCATCCTTTTTTGTTTCCTTTTTATCTGTTTCTTTTTTCTCAGCGTCACGATTAGTTAATTTATTATTGATTAAATTGTGTAAAGCCACTATAGATCTAACAAGAGCAGCAAGATACACAACTAACATTTGATCATTTGTTTTCACATAAAGTGAATCAACAAAGCTAGTTTGTGTCATATCAGGGAGTAAGTTAAAAATGTCTTGTAGCTGATAAACAATTTGATGATTAATAGGTAATTTACCACTACCAACTTGCAGCAAATAATCTCTAATTTCTCTAATTTGTTCATGAAGGCCTTTTAAACCTAATAATTGATTTGTAATTCTTTGACTAAGGGTACCAACTGTGGTATCCTTAATATCTCTTAATAAATGTTCTACACCTACTTCCTCTGCTTCCTCTGCACCAATTTCACTAGGAATGTGTTCAAAAGTCTTAGATGTTGGAGAGCCATCCTGTAATAATTTTATTTATTATAATGATTATGATATAAATATATCAAATACACTAAATATATTATGAGACTTACATCATGAACTTCTTCAACAGCTTGATATGCTTCTGTTGGAAGACCAAGATCTTTAGGTTTAGCGTCAATGATGACCAAAACAGAATTGGGGCAATATCTTCTGATTAATTCATTAATTGCAACATCATTTTGATGTAATTTAGGTCCAGTATGATACCAACCTACTACCTTTTCACGAGCTAAGATATAATAAATGAAAAAAAATATAAAATTTAAATTTTTGATTGCTTTCAAATTCACATGCATACAAATAAATGCATACCATTAACTTTTTTGAACATTCCATACATATTTTCAAGATAATCATGATCAAGGAACCACACACTTTTGTCTTTATCATCTTCATCAAAAGGAACTATAAATAAAAGTAATAATATTTAATTTTATAATGAAAATAATTTTATTTTATTTATAAAAATTATTATAGAAACAATAAATTAATGAAGAAATAATAAATTTATGACCGAAATCTATAAAAATCAAGAGGAAATGGTGAATATTAGTAGTGTCAATCTAACCTGCAAAACTATTTGACACGTCTAGCACGCCTTTCGCCCTCCAACATCCCAAAAGAACACCAACAACTCTTTTTTGATTACCAATTTTTCCCATACGATTAAAGTGATCCACTACACTTAATAAAACTAAAGGATGCACCACAACTTTCGTTGTTACAACCTCTTGACTCGGCATTTTTGAGCAATTCCTTTAACTTTCGTGAATGTAGCCACAGCAGAAACATCCAAAGTTATTCACTGAATCATTCATAAAAGACCCTTCTATATAAAGTAAATAATATAAATACCGTTTCCAAGAAAATATATAATTTATATCATGTTAAAAATTAAATTGCAAAGATATTTCTAAAAAGTAAAAATATTATAATATTTAAAGAAATAATTGAATTCAAAATTCAGAAATAACTTTCTCTTAAGATTATTTAAAAAATTTTTATATTTAATTTTTATATAATTTTTTTCAATTTATGTTAGTGAAATAAAATAAAAAATAAAGTTTTTACAAGATTAAAATAAATCTTTTTTATTATAATTATAAATAATATATTTTCATTTGGGATAAGAAATTACAGTTAGCAACACTGTTGAGAAAAGATGCTGTTTCACATGCTTCGATTCGATTACTAAATATTGAAAAATAGTTTTTATTCGAAGGTATAGAAATTGTTTAACAAAGTGCAACAAATATAATATTCATAAAATACATCTTTAATTATATCCTTAAATAAAATCTTATTTAATTTAGTTGAAAAGATAACCAACACATTTCACATTTTCGCCTCATAGCAGGTATACACATCTATAGATATATCATAGCCATGTCTACCAACCAATCGAATAAAAAAGGCGCGAAGTTTTATATTTCAAAATTTTTTACAGAATGTCGAAACCAATAGTTTTTGTAACTGGAAATGTAAAGAAATTAGAGGAGTTTGTGGCTATTCTGGGAAAAAATTTTCCATTAGAAATTATAAGTAAGAAGATTGATCTTCCAGAATATCAAGGAGAAATAGATGATATTTGCAGAAACAAATGTCGAGCAGCAGCTGATTTAATAAAAGGACCTGTTATTATTGAAGATACTTGCTTATGTTTTAATGCAATGAGCGGTTTACCTGGTCCTTATATTAAATGGTTTTTAGACAAATTAGGACCAGAAGGATTATACCAAATGCTTAATGGTTGGGAAGATAAAACTGCGGAAGCAGTTTGCACTTTTGCTTATTGTTCAGGAAAATTGGAAGATCCAGTTTTATTGTTTCAAGGTAGAACGCAAGGAACTATCGTGAGTCCTCGAGGTCCACGAGATTTTGGTTGGGATTCATGTTTTCAGCCTTTGGACAATGATAAAACTTACGCAGAATTACCGAAAGAAGTTAAGAATAAAATTTCTCATCGTAGTAAAGCACTGGAGAAATTAAAAGAATACTTTTTGAAAAACGTTGAACAATAAATCAATAAATTGGATTTTTTAAAAGTACAATATTTATTTATTTTTATAATTCCTATAAATATTAATAATTATATTTGCAAATTATCATAATTGAAAAATATATTAATTGTTTCTTGATAGAAAATTGTTTACTATTTATTTAAATATATATTTTTTAATGAATGATTATGTATCATCGAAACACAGAACTTTTATTAGTGTTATTACGTAGTATCCTGGCTTTATCAAATATGATTTAGCATTTAAAATACATTTTGGCTGAAGTGGCGATAGCCGATAGATTTTTTTATTAAAAAATTTTTTTAAGTTAACGGTAAACAGCAAGAAAATAATTTAAAAACTGATTCCGACAATCAACATTCCACAAATTATAAATACTGACGATATATTTATCTAAATGCTTGTAAAATGATGCAATCATTTTTAGTATTGTATTTGTATTGTATTATATTATTTTATCGGTAAAAATTTAAGTTTTCGATCTTTTAAATTCTATAAATAGATACAAAGAAGGGGAAGTCTTTATTTTATAGTACCATTAATTTCTGTTCATCGACTTAAATGGTATAACGTAATCATTGCAATTATATTGTTGATTGTCATGTGCGACGGTAAACACGCAATCGAATTATTTGTTGTTTTTTTAAACATTATTGATAAAGTCAATTATATTTATTAATCAACAATATTGTAATTTACATGTATAAAAAAATAATCTCAGGGAAAATTCCAATCAATTTTCTATCGTAATAAAATAAATGATTTCAATCAATTTTTTAATCAATGATATTCCGTGTCAACATAAAAATCTTTTACGATATATGAAAATTGCAATAAAATCTGTATGCGGGATGAGTGAAATAAAAAGTTACAAGTATTTTTTTTTTCATTCATAACTGTTAGACAAAAGATATCTATAATAGTTTCAAAGAAATTGGATTTTAAAATTTTAATTCTATTCCTATATGCAACTTTGTTTATAAATAAAATAGAAATATCTAAATATCTAATGAAACATATAATTCATGAGTGCGTAGAATAAAAAAGAATGAAGATTTTTTAATATATAGAAATATATACAATCAGGTATAAAAAGTATGAGTCAAGTTAAACTTGATTCTGATAATATTTTTAAAAAATTATTCACGTAGTAATGTAACTTGTGATGGTGCACGAACGGGTTATCTTCCTCATTGATTACACCGGCATAGCCAGTTCGCAACACCCTTTCGAGAGGGGTTATCATTTATATTTGCATTTTCTTATTCTACCGGGATTTACAGATTTTTCGCCATATAAAAGGAGAATGCAGCACAGCAGAGTTAGTAGTCTTCTTACAAGGGTTACACTATAATGAATACCCTAATCGGTAAGTAACAAAAAAGGAAGAAAACAAGTTTCCTGTAATTTTATTGTATTTTCAAAAATATTGTTAATAATTTGAAATGATATATATATTTTTTAATTTTTAGTATTATTGGGGATCCTAACTACGGTGATTGCCGTTCCGGGTACGTTAAAATAAATATAAAGAAGTTCTCGAAGATAACTAAAATAAACGAGAACTTGAAGTGAATTCTGTGATAATCGAATTGTAGAAATAAATTTTATCTAATATTATTACAGCTCCTTTTCCACATGGAAAACTTGTAACTTACAAATACATCGCCGATGTGAAGGCTGGTGTCGAGCCGTCTTTATTCGTATCCAACTATGGCATCGAATGTTTACTTAACGTACAACATATCACCGACACAAACTCGAAGAATACTTATTATGTTAATTTGACCAATGTGAAATATGGACTATACAATGGATTTGTGAAACATTATGAATCATTGTCTGTTATGGAATCGATCCCCGACGTAGCAAATGCGATTCTGAATCCTTTCCTCATCATTTATGACGAAAATGGACACGTAAGAAGAAAATTGAATAGAAACTTTAGAGAGAATTCTTAACATTTTTATTTCTATATTTTAGCTTAAAGGTGTAAAATTTATGGAAAACGAGCCAGGATGGTCAAAAAACATGAAAAAGGGTATCGTTTCCATGCTTCAATTGGACATGACTAATATTCGAGTTCAAACTCCGATAAAATCACATAGTTTCATCGCTCACGAGGTAGGTAACGACTGATGGGAACACTCTGAGATTTTCTTTAATGTTCTCTTTGGTTGTTACCACTAGGAAACCGTTCACGGTACTTGTCAAGTGGCTTATAATGTTCATCCATTGGACCATATAGGATCTAACAAAGAATTCGTTGTTACGAAGATTCACGAATCGAAGAATTGTACTCATTTTTCTTACCACGAGATGAGCCATTTTGATTCTGAGAAATGTCATGTAAATGAATGGGTAAGACTTTTTCTCTGAAATAATAGAAATAACAATTTTAATCCTATATTTCTCTTTTCTTTAATCTTATATTTAGGACGACATGAGCACTGCTAGTAGACGCATTTTCGTGGTAGAAAATCAAGACAATGAAGTTCTTATAAAAAAATTAATTGGTCATGGAATGATCAACTATCTACCGTGGGTGGCCGAATCAGAGGCGCATCATCTTCTGACCAAGTAATCTCCAAAACGAATAAATATAAATATATATAGATTGAAAAATATCATAATTTTATTTTAGAACAATATCCGTTTTTTCAGTCAAACGTTGCATCTGAAAAATGTTGTTTCTGTATCCGAGTCACACTTATCGGACATCGTACGATTAAATCCTTCAATTATCGAAAATGTTATCTACGATGAACCTACGACTTCGTACGTTCCTCAAGCTGACATAGACGTAACTCATGGTCGACACATAGTCAAACTCAATGATCTTATTATAAAATTGAGAAAGATGTTGGATGAAGTTGCCGGTTATCTCAAAGAAAGCCAAATCGACAAGAAACAATCGGATTGGAAACATGATCAAACGATCAATAGGATTTTACACGTTATGAGTTACATGGATGTCACATCGTTGGAGCAAGTGTACAGCGAGATTCAAAATGGTAAAGATGCCAATGAGATAGTAAAGAGGTATGCAACATTTTGTCGATTATGAAGAAAATAATACGATAATATATTTTGAGATAAATTTTCTCACATTCTTATTCTTTTATTAGAAATATTTTCCTCGGAATACTGTCAAGTGTGGGAACCCCAGCTGCCTGCTTTTTCACGCGAAATGTAGTTCGAACAAAGAGCGTTCCAAAATGGAATGCAATTATGATGCTTGGAAATCTTCCGATGCATGTGAAAGTTCCTTCGAAAAAACTGCTTGTCCAGATGGAAGAACTTCTTAGCTTAGATGATTCTGTTTCTGTGGAAGTTAAGGAAGCAAGCATATTCTGTTTTGCTACATTGATTCGTAAAACATTTGAGCACGAGGAGACTGGAGCTATAGATCCTCTTTTGGATAAATACTTGCATCACTTCATGGAACATATTAGAAGTATAATGCAATTTTTATAATACCTAGCTCTTCTTTTATTAATATTGATTATTCTTATCAATATTTAATCGATAATAAATATTGCAGACGAACCGACGCATCATATGAAGATGGTATACATGATGGCAATGAAAAACGTAAGATTAACTCAGATTCTGAAATTTTTGGAGCCTATAATCCGTGGCGATGAAGTTGTATCTGATAAACCGCACAACATTCGTGCACAAGCTATTTGGATCATGAAAAACGTAGTCTTCGAACATCCCCGTTATTGTTACAACTTACTCTGGCCGGTTCTAACCGATATTACCCTTCCAACAGCAGTTAGAATTGCCGCGTTTGATGTCCTGATGAACGAAACTCCTCAATTAGGACGATTTATAAATGTTTACTGGTTGATGGTTTACGAAAAGAACGAACATCTCTATAATTATTACGTGGATACCCTCAAAGGACTTGCTACCTCGGTGGATCCTTGTCTGATGCAAGCTCGAGAAATGGCTAAGAAATTATTAAAGATCGTTCGAGTAAGGAACGTTACTGGTCCATTATCGCGCAAATTTTATGTCGATTACGTGGATAATAAATATGAATATAACGAAAGAGTGAAAGGTTCCTTAATTGTGGATCACACATCTGGTTTACCGTACGTTGGTTCGATCGAACATATCGCATCTGTTAAAGCACGTAAACCTGTTACTAAATTAGGAGTGAGTATTGCAATAAATTTTATTATGAAAAATATAATATAAGATTTCTTGTAATATCATCTAATTATATTTCTATATATCATAGATCCATTGGAATATAGATGGTTTGAGCGAGATTATTAAGGATATCGATGAAAATGTGTTCGGCAATGTCGTACAAGCGATTAAAAACGACAACGTGAAGAATGTATTAATTTCAGCAGCTAAGATTATGCCGAAAATTAAAGATATTAACGTTAATGTCATTTTAACAATGAACGACAATGTTGTTTCGATATTCCATTGCACCAAGAATAATTGGCAGAAAATTCTCAATGAATTGAAACAATGGAAAAAATTGATTACTGAACACATGGATGTTATTAATTGGCAGACTGTTTTATATCACGATCATTACGAAATTCATGTACCTACTGATCTTGGTGTACCAGCCATTTTGGCAACGAGAGTACCTTCTTTATTCTCCCTCGTAGGAAGCTTTGAAGTCTCTGAAGATAAAAATCTTTTAATCTTGAAACCAAAAATTAAATATCAGCAATGGATGCACGGCGAACACACGATGTCAATTTACAATCCTGTTGTCGATGTATGGCACTCTGTTCGTAAGACATCGTCTTTCGATATTGTTTCACCATGTGAAATGAGCATTGGCTGGAACTGGAAAACGAAAAGTCTTAAAGTTACATGGCCAAGATTGCCAGTTTCGGATTTCTCGGTTGCAGGAATATCGATTTACGGTAAAAATTATATCACCGTTTTAAACGATGAGCATGATCTGCTGAAAAAGTTCTGTTCTACTTGCCATCATTATGAAGTTGTTACCAATAACGTCAATTTGAAAACATACGAGAATACTTTCGATTCAAAGGATATTGGAACTCGTTTTAAGATGCAATATCATTGCGACAATAATTTTATTCCGGTTTCTCTTGTGGATGAATGGCTTACAGGACTTTCAGAGTCAAAGACAATCGAAAACAGTATGTGAGTATTGAATTTAAGAGATAATAAAAAAAACAAGGAAAAAGAATAATATCAAAATTTATTTCCGTTATACAGGATACAGGCTGTTATAGCAATCCGTCATAAAATAATGAGCGACATAATTTTGGGACAAGGAAAAAGTTGTTCTCTCGTATGTAAAGCTGAACCAAGTATCGTTTATCCTACTTCGGTGGTAAATTGAAAAAATTCTTTTATAATAACATCAGAATACGCGTGTATTTTTCTTTTAATGTTTTTTTTCTTTTTCTTTCTTTTTTTTTTTTTTTTTAATTAGATCGACTTAATTGGAAAAGTTAGCATTCAAGATTTTCACGAGACACAAAAAATGGATCTTTTACGCAGTAAGAGAATCGATATTCGTGGAAATTTAAATGCTAAAGCAGCTTCCACTAATGAATCTATAAGACAATGGGATATGAATCTTAACATTGTATTGTCTCAGGGACATGTTAATAATAGTATGAGAATTATGATTACTCGTACCATACCAGAAGAGAAAAATTTAAAGGTTTGTAAGAATTAAAATTCCTAAGTGAAGCATTTTTTCAGTAAAGAATATTCGATATATTCTTTTAGATATGTATTGAGGCACAGAATGAATATCCAGAGATTACTGATGATTTATTAACAGTTAATGGAAAGAAGGAAACTAATACAAAAATGACGATTACTATGGGACAAACGAAAGAAGATAAGTGTGTACGCGATGAAATGGATGTCACAATCATCATGAAAGGCGAAATGTTAGAAGAACAAAAGAATCAAATGAGCTATGACAGCATGTATATTGAATGTTACAATCAAAGTCAGAATCCTTTGTTCCATACCAAGAGTTCGAAAGTTCCTAAGACTAAAGAATGCATTGAAGAAGATATACTTCATTCAACTTTGAGGAAATATACTTTAGATATGACCGTAAGAAAGGTAAATTTTTTTATAGTTTAAGATTGATAGCGATGATAATTTAATGCGAATGATTTTTATTATTTATTTTATAGGTACCTCAGCAAATAATGTCGGCTGTAAATATAGTTCATGATAAATTGCGTTCTGTTTTCTTCGATCATATGAAACATACTTGGAATCATGTACAGCCTGGAAACGCGAAGATTATCTTAGAATTCCCATACTTGACATCTGTTCTTAATGTAGCTGTTACAACTTCGACACACAGTTACGAATTAGTTCAATTACCATTTGGTAATCCAATTTGGAATATATGGATGAATAATATTCATTATTCTACGTCAATATTGAATGATTATTTTAATGAAAAAATTAGTAAGTTTTTTTAATTATTTATTATTATGGTAATTGAAATTATTATGCTGAATTGCTAAATATATTTTTACGTTGCCTATAGGATTGTGCACAATTTATCCTCGACTTCTTAATCCCACTATTAATGATGCCGTTACTATTACTTGGAATGGTATCATTCAATTTATCAGATCAGATGAATGGATCTTGATGTCTGGTGATCACATACATCATACGTATAGTATCTTTGTGAAATTAGTACAAAATAAGAAATTGGCTTTAAGAGTTTATATTGGTGAACATGAAATGGAAATTATGCCTCTTGAGACAAAAGTATCTGTGAAAATAGATAATAAAATTATTGATGATTACCAAAAAGGTATTACAGTATCCGAGAACGAATCACGTTCTTATCCTATGAGGTAAACTTAATTTTTCAATAAATTTATTCTGTTTTAATTTTATTTTTTAAAGATATTTCTATCTATATATTATAATATAACTGTAATATATATATATTTTTTTTGTACAGATTAACCACTGCCTATAACTATGTAGTAATTGATTCACAAACAATACCAGTTCATATTTTCTATAAAGTAGACAGTGTAACAGTTTCTCTGCATACTAATCTTCAGAGTCAAGTAACTGGAATCTGTGGTAACATGGATGTTATGCATAAAGATGAAATTCCAGACGTACATAGTGTTTCATATCTCTAATAAAATGAAATGAAATCATCTAATCATATTTTTCATCTTATGAAATATGTTTAGTGTCATTATTTAGAATCATTTAATAGCAGTTATTGATTTTAATATTATAATTATATTAACAATCAATAATTTCTTTTTAGGAATGATGATGTAGTTACAAAGAATAAAAAAATAAAATTTTACTTTGGAAAATTTTTAATTTTTTATAAAGATTATCATTAACTTTTGTTTTTATTATAATATACGATATACGTATATTTATATCATATTAATTATCAAAGAAAAAGAAACGATGTGTTAAAATTTATCTTATAAATATAAAAAAAAGAAAATTTAAATATACTGTTAAAAATAAATTTTAAATTTTATAATTTGAACACGTTTGTCACGTGGCCTCCGTGGCGCAATCGGCTAGCGCGTTCGGCTGTTAACCGAAAGGTTGGTGGTTCGAGCCCACCCGGGGGCGATTATTTTTTTTCGTTATTATTAATTTTGCAATCAAAGTAATATAATTTTTCTATATTTATTGACAAGAATAATATACACGTTTATATCTATAAATCTATTAAAAATCTATATTATATAAATAAGTGTAATATAACAGTGTAATATAAATAAGTGAATATAAGTGTAATATTCTAATATTTTAATACCTATTGCAACAGAACCATTACAAATATTTAAAAACAATCAAAAATTTAATATTTAATATTAAATTAATTTTACGTAATGAAAATAATGATGTACTAACCTCTTTTGATAGATTTTAGAAATTTCACGAGTGAATTACATACTAAAATACTTTATAGGAACAGAAAATAATAAAATAAAAGGCTAGAATAAAACTCTGGAGTATAAATTATGTAATATATAACTTGATATGTAACATATATTATGTAATCTTATTTAAATTTTAGTTATTTTCCATATATATTGAATATTGCGACTGTTCTATATTTCTTTATTCGTAATATTTCCATTTTAAATTTACCTCCGAAAAACTAAGTGGCGCTATTGTCGACTTGCTTGAAATTTGGCTAGACTCCATCTTACTTTTGCCGACACCCATACGCAATACGAGAAGAAAAGTGAGTTCTTATTCGAAAGACAGCATTTATTACGTAAGAATAAACTATATTAATAAGAAAAATGTTAATCATTACTTAATATAATAGTATTTTCTATTTTTAATTACACGTATTTTTAATCATATACTGATTCGATTCGAGACCGCATGTGGTTGGTTTTTTATAGCATTTTTAAATATTTTACTTGTTTTTGTAACAGTAGTTTTATCAAATACTACTTTCTTTGATATAATTATGCTTTTATAATTCGATAAAAATAATGATTCACATTTATTTCGTATTATTTAAATTCATATTATAATTTTATTAGTTTATAGGTTAAAGTTGTTTGACCACGCTTTTAGTTAAGTTGGTTAGTGTTGCATCATAATATATTTTATCTATTTTTTTTATTCAAATGATTTTTTATTTTTATTTCAGATATTTTATTAAAAATGGCTATGTTTTGGAATAGATTAGGACAGCTCGGTGTGGGTTTAACTTTGACTGGTATCGTTGTTAATAATGCTTTATACAATGGTTAGTTTATACATTTATTATACGACAAAGTTATTGTGAGATATATATTGAGTTTTATTTATAATTTTTATAAATTATTTATTTTAGTTGATGGAGGTCATAGAGCTGTTATTTTTGATAGATTTACTGGAATAAAGAACCAAGTTGTAGGAGAAGGAACACATTTTATTATTCCCTGGGTACAGAGACCTATCATATTTGATGTTCGATCTAGACCAAGGAATATTCCTGTAATCACTGGAAGTAAAGATCTGCAAAACGTAAACATCACACTTCGTATTCTCTTCAGACCCATACCAGATTCTTTGCCGAAGATCTATACTGTTCTTGGTATAGATTATGCTGAAAGAGTATTGCCATCTATTACAAATGAAGTATTAAAAGCTGTAGTTGCTCAGTTTGATGCAGGAGAACTAATCACACAGAGAGAGATTGTCTCTCAAAAGGTTAGGGAAGATTTAACAGAAAGAGCTACACAATTTGGATTAATTTTAGACGATATTTCTATTGTAAGTGTATCATAATTGTTCTTGTTTTTTAGCCGATATATAATACTTTATTTGATTTTATAATCTCTTTTATTTCAGACACATTTAACCTTTGGAAAAGAATTTACTCAAGCTGTGGAAATGAAGCAAGTAGCACAGCAAGAAGCAGAAAAGGCCCGTTTCTTAGTAGAAAAAGCAGAACAGCATAAGAAAGCTGCTATTATTAGTGCAGAAGGTGATGCCCAAGCTGCTAGTTTAATTGCAAAGTCCCTTGGTGAAGCAGGCGATGGTTTAGTTGAACTTAGAAGAATTGAAGCTGCAGAAGACATAGCTCATAATCTTTCTAGATCTCGTCAAGTAGCTTATTTGCCCCCAGGTCAAAATGTTCTACTTAACTTACCGCAGTAAAAATATAAACTCGAATAAAAATTATATATATAAGTTGTGCATTTATATTGTAATGTATGAGTTTTGATGCAGTAATGGTGTATTATCAATAGAAAAATTTTAATATGCAAAAATGTTCTTAGATAGATAAATGAAAATAATTTTTCTAGAATTTTAGTTTATATTCTTAATTATTTCGAACATGTTTTTTTCACAGTTATGTAATGATTACTTGAAAAACTGATATCATTTATTTTTGGTAGTTTTAGGTCAATTATTTTCCAGAAGAAGATTCCTTGAATGATTTAGAAATCTTAAATGATTTAGAAATGTTAAATTAAAAAATTTTAAACAATGTTTTAAAATCGAAATATTTAACTATTTATGAGATCGTTTTTTTATTTCAGGATTATTTTACCAAATTGCCTTATTTTTATTCGACCATTCATATATTCATATAAATTAATAATTCAGATGTATTTATTTAAATATCAAAATAATGAATATTTTTACAGGAAATATATAATTTTTAATAAAATTTATATTATAACTTGGATAAATCGAATACACCTACGACGTACTTAATATATGGTGTATTTGTGAATAATTGTGTAAATTAGTAAATATTTCAAAGATTAATATGTAAAAGATTTACCAATTTTATTTTTTTCAGAGTAGGTGTTTTTAGGAGGTTTTATTTCATTCACATCTTATTCAATTTCTAAATATTGAATCTTTTCTTTAGAAATATTTATACCTTGAAATTATATAATATTTTATTATATTCATATTTAATTTTAATTATTTTATCACGAAATTTTAATCGAGAAGATATTAGAAATCTTATCGCAGTCAGTCAGTCATTCATTCGTTCGAATCGCCAATCAATTATGACGATTAATCAACGACCAGAAATTAATGAAAGATTATCGCAGTTAGGGTCCACTGGTTCAACGTTTGTCGGCATTATTAGTTAATAAAGAAAACAATTTGTTAGAATTTGACGAACATTGTGGGATTTTTTTAATAGTTTGCGTCGAAATTGGAATAACACTTTGTGAGATTAACACAATTTCCATAAATCGTTATATTAAAATTTCTTTTGCTTAATCGATTTTTTATTCTTTGCATTAGTATAGATACAATTTGAAGAAAACATGCAAGATTTGATTAGTATTTATAATAATAAAAAATAATGAATTATCGGGGAGAACTCGGTTTCGAAGAGAAAGGGAGCAAGATCGAGACGGTTGGAGTACGAGGCAAAAGCAGATTAGCGTGAATAATGAAGACACGACCGCGTGAAAGCCTAAGCGGGTCTCCTTAAGTCTGCTCTTTCGAGTAGAAGCCGAAGCCGGAAAGGAAGGATACTGGCTGAGAGGTGGGACGGATAGAAAGGAGGTAGAAGCAGTTAATTACTCCTCCCATCCAGAGGATAACGACTTCCCCTTATTTGTCGAGAGGCGCAAACAGCTAACCCTCGGTGAAATCCCTTGGCAAGATGCTTTCTCGGATATGTAGTACCTTGAGATCTTAGGACCATCCCATAACTTAAACATTACCTCGTTTCTATGAACATTGATGGATCGAGAAGGTATACAGGTATTTTTTAATTGTATACACTCGGCTTAAGCTTATTATTAAAACGTTCTTTAATAAATTTTAATTTATGACTTAAAATAGAAAAGTCATAAATTTAGGGATTCTCATAAGTTACTAGTTCATAGCTTTTGTTAATTATTTTCCATAATATACCGTATTTTCGATAAATTTTCACTTGAAACGACAATGATTGTAAGCGTAAGCAATTTACCTATTGATACTAATGCAAACATGTAAATTGCTACATCGCCATAAACGGCAAACGAACGCGAAGAGTAATGATGAAATTTTCGCGATATTTTCAAAATTATGACACGTGAAATGATATGCGCTTTTAAATAATAGTAATGCAATATTGTGTAAGAATGTGTTAAAATTAAATAATAATAAAATTTCTGAAGGAAGATCAGGATTATGTCGATAGGTATTCCAAATACCTATGACATAAGTACTGCAAATGAGAAAAAGAATTCGACACAGGCCATGCGTATGTACAACGAAATAAATAAATAGCTGGACACTCGTACGAGGAACGTAGAGAACGAGAGAAGGGAAACTAATTACGAAAGAAATCATAATAGGCGCACATGCACCGCGGGCTGTCGAGCTGACGATTGCTTCCTCTGCATCTGCACCTGTTACTGCGATCCTACGGTTGCATTGATGCACGCGAACCGCATATGCCGATGGCCTTCCTCGGAGACACGATCGCCTAAAGCGATAATTTCCTTTCCAGAGTTCGTAACTTGCACAATTTCGTAAATATCCAGAAAGTAAGGTGATAGTTTTTATAATATCTTCTACACACACATATATATATGGTACTTTCGTTATTCTTCGTTCTATATATTCATACTTTATTCTATTTCATTCTAGAATTAATCACGAGTCACGTGTACGATAACGAATATCCACGTAGCATTTTGTTCGTTCATGCTAAAGAAATCACCGCTTTGAAGCGACTAACGTGGACCACTGTACGGATATTGTTAATTAAAGCGGGAAACGAAAACATCCCTCGATGGTTCATAATTACATCCCTCTTTCTACACACAAAGAATATAGGACTTCGGGGCATATGATGAAACACATTGACCATCGTCCGAATTAAAGTCCAGAAAATTGAATGGGTCACGACGTTAAATAACCATATTTTGTGCTTTCGTGTGTTTTCATTAGTCGCTTTTACGGATGATGATAGCAAAAATGATAGCAAGATTCGTGCGAGTCATTGCTATCATTTTCGGTAAGAAAGATCAATAAATGTCGAAATGTCGTCATCGTTGTCTATTTATGTATAATATTTTCTCTCATCAAACTTGATATTTCATCAAATATCTATTAATTTATCGCTCGAAGAATAAAATTAGGAATCCCAATATACGATGATACGTTGCATCTTAAATGTGTTTCAACTTATTAAGGCAAGCGCCATTCGGTTAGCATAATCGTATCTTGGGATCGGCTGTTCGACTGCATCTCTTCACCCTCATCGTTCTCATTTTCGTGCAGCTCGCACGCGAGGAGTAATTTTCAATAAATGCAGCTGGCACGATTTTGTCGTTGATCCTCTTCTAGTTGATGCACGACCAACGGTAGTCTCGCCATTCATCTCATACTTTTTCTTTTTTTTTTTTTTTTTTTGTTTCTTCTCTAGGTTCGAAAACGTTGTTGCGCTGATGCACGAGAGCAGCAATAAGAAAATTTAGTTTCGAACATCCGACACCTCGTACGATTGCCATTCACTTTTCGCCATAGAACGAACAGTTTAGACCAGACCCTCGGGGAAGTTCCGTGGCAGATTGATTTACATCGCAGTCAGCCTCGAGCCGGCCTGTAATCTCGCGACTATGCCGGGCAGAATACACGTGACTGCCGTCTCATCCCTTTCACGACCTCCAGGGTGCGTTAGAGCTCGAGCGTCTTGACGAGAGGTAACCAACTTACGCTTAATATTGCGTGAATTAGTTGGCCAACTGCGCTTGATAACCGGTCATTTAAACAATCATTTCTCCGTCCCCTCGCCGTTTATTTTTACGCTATTTTCTTTCTCGCGTGTCTCTATTCCGATTTCGGCTAGTTTGAACGGAGCGGCGAAGCCTCGTGGAACAAAGGGTGAAGTTTTTCGAACAGAAAGTGGGGCTACTGCTCCCGTTAGGACGTTTCCTCTTCGAGCGTGCTCAGGAAGTACGCAGGTCATCGCGTGCAGAACTCCGCGAGACGAGCGTCGTTCTCCATTGTCAACGGCACACGAGAAAAGAAAGTTCACGGCTATGGGGTTACCTGCTGTGTGTTCAGGGTCACCGTTATCCAGCGATCATCTTGCATATACGATTGACGGTGAAACTAGAACGAATTTTTTTCAATTTACAACGAAGCAACGAATTTAACAAGAGACTCGAACTCGTATATAATTTTTGTAATTGACTTGTAATTTTACCAATCTGACTAAATTATCGTCATTTCAGATATCAGTTTCTAAGTTACATCGATAGCACGTACATTCTATACAAGATTATCTAATGAATTCCAAGTGCTCAACTCTTCAGCTGATACTCTCTAGTTTACCTTGCTCGTTACTCGGCTTGTCCTCATTAACCCGTAATGCGTTCTCCAAGTTCATCTTCCTACTCGTGTTGTTCTAGTTTATCTCCCCTTCCCCCTCCGTAATCGTTCACCAAGGCGTTCCTCGACCAGGATGGACGTCGACAAAGCCGCGTCTTGCTGTTCCCACAGGAGCGTCTTTCGTGCTGACCGTACGAACATTAATTCGGTCAGGAAGGAATGAAGAGGAGAGGGGCAAGGAGGAAAGGGAAGAAGGACAGAAGGGAACTTGTAACATGTGTGTAACGCAAGGGGCGTTCCGTGGTTGCGGTCCCGTCCATCTGTGGCAAGGAGTTCAGACGTAATTGCTACATCCTCAGATGCTGTTACCTTCATGCGTATGCACCTTCACGAAAATCGTCACAAGAGACGGGGTTGATATCGAATCGATGTAAATAAAATTCGAATTATTTAATTTAATTTATCTTAAATTTTACGAGATGTAAAAATTCGAATTCGATCCATTCATGGATCGTTCATCGAATTTATATCGAATTAAAAATTAAGTTTGTTAGAACATAGACATGTTTCTTAAGTCTTAAGAAGACTCGTCTTGAACAGATAGATTATTTCTCTTGGTTAACAAATTTTTGGTTTTTCATCGTGAATAGACGCGAATGCAAGATGCAAATACGCGCGTGCGTGTGCCTGTGATCATGGGTTCTTCCGTCACGCGACGTGCCGCGGTCATCGGTACCTGTTTTCTTCTTCTTCCTCTTCTCTCTCTCTCTCTCCTCAAACCGATCCTCCTTTTTGTTCGAGCTTTTTCGTGAACGGTCACTCGTTGCACGTGAAGACGAATTCCCGCGGGTGCAAATCGTCGTGAAATTGACGGTTCCTGTGAAGAT